AAGGTGGCTGTTTTCAAGTCACAGCAGTACCAAATCTCAGCTAGAAGCTTACTTAAAACCTATCTGCAGCAGGCAAAACTGCTAGTCTTACAAAATATTGTAATTTATTCTGCATTTCCAAATCTACTGGTTTCCATGCATACCAAACAACCCGTGGCTTCCAGCCCTTCTCCCTGGGCTCCTTGGGAGCTATTCACATTCTCTCTTCTGGCAGCCTTAGCACAGTTGTGATCCCTGACACCTTTTCATGCTCCCCTTTTGCTAAAGCTGCTGGTGTGCAGGCTGCACAGCTCTGCGGTACATGGGAGATGAGGGGGAGGATGCAACGTGGATGGCTTTGTCCATGTTAGGTGCTTTGAATGAGTTAGCAGCCTTCTCAGGCCCAACATTGCCCCTTACTGTTTTGGGGGTGGTCTCTAATGCACTGTTATGAATAAAACTGACTCATGCATCCTCTRTGAGTCAGCCACAGCACAAGGTCAGCTTACTGAGCAGATTGCTAAGTACCTTTCTCTTCTACCCTCTCCCTTGCACATAGCAGGCTCTATTGAAGSAAGCAAGCAAAGTATGGGGAAAGTATTACACTACTTGCACAGTCTCTTGCTGCAGTATGGCATTAATTTTGGCTTCTGTAGTTGTCTCTTTGTCTTTTTTCCCCCTAAGACAAATTTAAGCACAACAAAGAACATACATACAGAAAAAGGCAACTGCCATGTCTTTCCAGGAAACTATGGTGCAGGACAGCTCTTACATGCTGTTCTTAAGGAAACTTAACCCTACACACTTATTCTAATCCCTGAACTCCCCTTGGATAGTCCTGCCTCTGCAGTCATGCCTGTACTTGCAGATAACTAAGTGCATAATTTAAATGTGGTGGGTCACGCATAGCTGAATAGCTGAAAAAATCCAGATGTGTCTGAGAAGTGGCAATGAGCTACCTAGAGATGTGTACAAACATTTGATATTTGAAACATAGCTCTGTCTATATACATTAGAAACAATYGAAAATACAGGCTGAATTGATTCCCACTTGTGCCTTGGAAAGCTTAGGCAGAGAGCTACCTGTGTCTGTATGCGTGCACCACAGAGGAGGGGAGGCAACAACCACCACCTAATTGTTGCCTCCTCTCTTAGTCCCTGAAAGTTAAACAGCCAGCAGATGAAAACTGTGTCGCAGGAACAAAACATGCGGAGGCAAGATGTTTACCTAGAGAAGTTCATCCAGTGACTCAGTTGACTACATTTGGGCTTCTGCATTCCCGCATCTTGGGGGGAAGGTGAAGCATTAGTACCAGTGAATTCAAAGGCAAGATTCCTAGCGACTTCTCTAACACTAGAATTTAACCCAAAAGTTTCTTAGATGGGAGCACATGGAGAAGAAGACTAACACCCTAGAATCTTTAAAGAGATAATTGCTTTCCTTCACAAAGAAGAAATATTATCTCGTTTGCATCTGCAAGTGAGCCTATTTTCCTGGGAACAGAGAATACATAAACCTGGGAGTTTTCCAGATACATATTTAAAATGTGAGACATCATGCAAATTTTATCGTTAAGTGAATTTATTCATGATGTACTCTGAATATGCTCAAGAAAAACAGTCAGGTAACAAACAGCAGACCTTCTTCCAGGAATAGGCACAACTTCTCTCCCTCAGAAGCTTGTAGACTTTTTTTTAACCATGAAAAGGAATTTCCCCTAGAACAGAGGGAGTTTGAATTTCCATGGCAGGGTTTTCTCTTTCTTGGCTATGAAAAGGAAGCTCAGATTATCCACAAGAACCTAAAAGCCACAAGCATAATTAGAAATAAGATAGGCAAGACTGYCTGGTAATGCTGATTACTACCCACTTCAGGGGAACAGTGTGACACATAAGCTAAGGCTATTAAGCTCTCAGGAGTGCCCTCTGAATATTTTAAAATAACCTCTAACACATAACTGTGATAAGATAAATCACCAAGGTTTTATTTTATGAATCATGAAATTGAAAGCACGTTATTGGAAATGTGTTATTGTGTATATATGCTGTATTTCATATTGCCTTTGTTTGCCAATGATTGTTTTTAGTTTATGACCCATACACATCTTTCCAAAAGCTTCATTTTTTTTAGATTTCATTTGTATTTCTGTTTCCTAATGCTCTTTGCTTCTCTCATGCAAATGAGAAATAGCTCATAGTCCTAATAGTCTAAATAGTGATCTTAAGAAGGGCATATTGGTTTTATGCTGTAATTTGTTTTTCAAATCTGTTAATCTGAATTATTCATAGTTTAGACCAAAATCAAATCCAGGCCCAGAGTATATCCTTTAAAGTTGACAATCAGTTGGCATGCATGCAATCTGGCACCAAACGTATTTACTAATAGTAGCAGTCTCATAACATATCTGTAAGGATCATAATAGTGGAAAACCCCCCTGGCAGGGCTTTTAAGTATTTGTATGCTGCTAATTCAAAAGATCAAGTCCTTCTAAAGCAGAGAATCTGTCTTTTCACATTCTGCATGCCCAAAATATCAGTTGCAACTGATTTTTTCCCCTTAACTGTGCAAGAACTTTCATTTGTATAAAACAAATGCACCCCTCTCCTACTAATGCATTTTCATTTTCTTCTTGAACCAAAATCCTTTTTATATTTCTTTCCTTTTGTTTAGTATTTGAGAGCAAAACCAGCACCATTTTCTAATGTATTTTGTAAATAAGAAGCATAAGTGGCAGAAAAAAAGAATAGAGGAGGACTGAAGACATTTAGAGGAGAGAGGCTAAAAGCCTGGCTCCCATCATTCATTCAACCATATGTTCATAAAACTAAAAGCTTTAAAATAACATGCTGTTACATAAATTCAGAGAGCCCTGGTTAGGCTGGCTAAGTTTTGTTTCTAAATAGTTGGGTTTTGTTGGATCTTAATAGAAACTTACCTCTTGCTTACAAAAGCAATCCATGTAACAGTGATGCCWATCAACTGCACAGGGTGACCACTCCATCCTATGCACTTAGGAATTTCTAATGCCAATAAAATTAACTTTAATCAACCCCCTCTTCATGAAGTATAACAATCTCTGGTTCACCTCGAGCCCATCACAGTGGAATTGTCTAAGCCACCGTTTCCTTCTTCTGGCGCTGTTTAAGTGCTGGTATCCTCCTGTGCTCTAGGCAGTCAGTCAGAATTAGTGTACAGTAGATGTGTACAATGTGGATGTACACAAGAAACACAAGGTGTTTCTCTTCAGATACTATCCAAATTGCTGTCACCCTTTCACCCAGGTGACCTGTGTCCTCACTTGGGGTGTGTGAAATAGGCTCAAGTCCTGCTGATGTCTAATGGGAGAGGACTAGTAGCTCACTAAAGACTCTACTCATTCAYGTATAGTCTCAGTTGTATTGTACTTAGCTTGTTTTATCTTGATAATCTTAGCTTGATTAATCTTGATATTGTCTTTTAACTGGCACTGAATATCTAAAGTGTACACTGRCCCAAGGGGGGCAAAACTCCACAGCTTGTCAAGTGAGTGCTTGTGCCCGGGGCTGCCGTTCTGTACTCTGCTCCTGTGAACAATAACGTGAAATGCTGCAAGTTCCCTGGGAGGCCTCAGGACTGAGACTGCCTTTCATGCAGCTGGGTGCTGAACAGGCTCTGTGGTGCTCTTCTGAGTGCTCTCCACATCTCTTTAGGTCTAGCTGTAAATGGGTTACTGAGGATCTCAAAGAGGCCGCGCAGACTGTGGAACTTAAATGCTTCACATGCAAACTGCGCACACAGCTCAGTCTGATTTCTTCATCACTTGCAGAATTGCTACAATCCTTGTAACAGCTACAGGGAGCTTCTAGGGGAACTAGAAGCATAGAATTAATATTACATAAGACAGTTCCTGAACAGCAGGCACACATTTTGTGCTGCTGCTCTGTAATTCACCCATCTTGTTGCAGGCCAAACCACAGCCCACTAATCAGCACCATTTTCCTATGTCTTGCAGGATCTCCGCAGCAGCCCCTGCATGAGGAATTCACGTGCGCCCAGTAAGCCCTTTCCCCTTTGGACTCTGAAAGCGGGAAAGATGGACCATATAGCGAGGAAGGCTAATGAGACCCACTATTTTCTAAGGGCTTCTCCAGCCTTTGCCTCTCCTTCCCCTACAAAGCTCATGTAAGTCATATGGCAAAGCAAGATCCTTCCCTTGTGGGGCTTTTCTAACAGGCCTAGTTATGTGGGCAGTGCACATGCCTGACGCCTCCATATGAGCAACTCCTGCAAAGCTTTCTACTAGCTATTATTTATCCTGGGCTAGRGCCTAGCCATGTCTTGGCAACAACTGAGGGCTTTGGTGACAGAAAGGCACCACTGTTACCTGAACTCCCATCTTTATCCCTTCTTCTGCATTCCAAAAAACAAAGCACTACAAMTAGACCTGAAAGATGTTTTTATTACATATTTTCTCCCAATCCTCCTAATTTTAAAGATTTTTGTATTTTGTATCTTATCTAGACTACCAGTCATACTTAACTGTTGCACCACATTTTACCATTACAGTTCTCCACAGTATTTTCCCGCTCCGTCTCTCCATTAAGATACATGGTGCTTCAAAGCAGCCGTGGGCTCACCAGCAGCGCCTGCCCCTGCGCACACGGCGGCCGCCCGCACTCCCCGCTGGAAAGGGCCGGGAAGGGGCAGCCACAACCGCCTCGCTGCCCGCGCCGCGCCGCCCCGCGCCCCCAGCCCTGCCYCGCTCCATTTTCCGAGCAGCCAGAGCCGCGCGGACGGTTCAAGCGCCCACCCCGATTGCCATTTGTGAAGCAGCGCTACGCGCTCCCTGACGGACCCGATCCATCTTCCCCCACCAAATGCAGTGGGCGGTTGCCCAACGCCCGCGGGAGCCACGTTCGCAGCAAGGAAGTGATCCCGGGAACCGCTACCGACCCCCGCCCTAGCCTGGGAATAGCGCAGGGACGAGGAGGGTCCCTGCCGTGGGTGCCGCCTCCCGCAGCGCCGCCGCATCCGCGCTCACCTCCACGAAGTAGAAGCAGGGCAGGAGGGTGACGCTGTCCTTGGTCACCTTGCCCTTCTGCCGCTCCTTGGCGGACATGCTGCCGGGAGCGGCGGGCGGCGGGCACCGCGCTCCCCACGTCTCCTCCGCCCGCCGCCGCCGCGATGGCTCCCGGCGCCRCCGCGCGGAGCTCGCGCCTCCCCTGCGCGGGCCTGACGTCAGGGACGGCGCTCGGCGGGCAGGGCGAAGGGGCCCGGCTGCGACGCGGGCGGGAGCGCGGGGGGC